CTGCTTGCAAGATAATCAGCTCTAAGATCTCTTTACAGGTAACCGGATTATTGAAACTCCCCAAACGCCCAGTACACCGGCGGCCACATCGACCAATCACCACATCTATGCTGGACAAGAAAAGAAGATGTGATTTTTTAAAAAAACAAACAAACAAACAAATTGTAATAATAAAATCCTGTCATTGGACGAGCAACAACCCTTTGCCCCTCCACAACAGTGATTTAAATTTATCAATACTCGAACAATTAAAACCCTTTACAAATGTGATACACAAATGTTTGCTGCTCATCCAAAGTATGCAAAAAAAAAAAAAACTGTAGAAAAACAAATGTAAACTTTTGAAATAAAGGAACAGGACACACAGGGTCTAATGTTAGGGTTCGCGTATTTAAGCCGGACTGCTGGCTAGAAGTCAGTTTGTATCCGGAAGGTCCTGAGACCGGCCAGCTCGACCAAGGTTTTCCGTGGTTTTCCTCGGTACTAGAGCAAATGCTGAGTTGGTACCCAATTCCACGTTGCACTGCATGACACATGCAGCCCCCCAATTGTTAACATAAAAATTTCGCCTTAATATAGCCCTCCCAACGTTAGCAAAAACGAACAAACAAAAATCCGATCATATGCTCTATCTTTACCAGAAGGACAAGCGGGCACTGCCTGGGAACCTTCAAAATCGGAGATATAGTTTCTTCCCCCCCCCCCAATGTAGTGTCTCTCACTACGCCCACCACTTCTTCTCTCTCTCTCTCTCTCTCTCAGTAGAGGGCATTGGAATATTGGAGTATTGAGAAGAGAGAGTCTTGAGACAGTCGCCGCTACAGAGAGTCGGGATTCAGCCACGGCGAAGGATAATTGACTATTGGGCCAGAAGTCAATTGATACTGCAAGTGATAATAATTGTAAGGTGTGTAAGTGTGTGTTTTCAATAAAGATTCGCTAAATCCGAGACCCACGTGAAGTTATTTGTCGCGTGACATACCCAAGACGTGACAATATTATCAGACACTATTCTCGTTTAATGGAACAACTACGTATTTTCCCACGTTCCGTAAGCATTTATGCTCTTGAGATCAGTTCTGTGTTCACTAATTATTTAAAGGAAACTGGGTACTCTTCTGGACTGAACTGAAAGCTGACAGAAGCACTGGTTCATTTACTCATTCACTGACTAGCTGACGGACCGTATCCTTAACAAATTTCGACTTCCCTGCTAGCACTGAAATGAAAACTGAGCGACTTCCTAACTTATTCATTAGCTCGCCGTCTGCTTTTTTATTGGCGTCTCATCCATAGAGAAAACGCTAGAATCCTCATGGGCGATCTCGGTTTTCCTCATTAGCTGATCGGTTTCGAACCGGTACTAGAGGCTCGCAGGTCAGACGGCGCAATTCCACTACTCTTCGTTCCCGCGGCAATATATAACATCATAGAAAATGCAACGCTGAAATGTGGTTATGAGGATCTGCTATCTAAAGACCGCTGAGTGAATGGGAGCAGTGCAAAGAAGTTTCTAAACTGTCCTGGGTATTGTAAGATCAGATGATAAACAAGTCGCAGGTCAGAAATAAGTTGATTACTTTAGGTATCTATGTTGAAAATAGATGACTTTGCTACCACATACCAGAATGAAGACACATGGAATGATTTCCACAGACATTTCCGTCAAAACAGCTTGCTTTACTTGACGAAAAGAGAAAATGAATATTTGCGTGAGTGCGCCATAGGAAAAAGACGAAATATAACTGTAATATACCACAATAGGCATCGCAGTATAAATCACTGAAACAAAGAAATCCGGAACTCACGAAGAAAAGCTGCAGAGAAACAAATGCACGCACAGACTTGAGGAACAGGCAATTAAATTAAATTTAATCGTGCACTATGATAACAGAGACGAGTTTCCATGCAAAGCCCCGATACTCGGAAACTGTGTTTCGGTAGTTTCAAAGTTTCACATGAGGTGTCACGGTAAAATAAAATTAATTATCCTAAGTATCAGGGGTGTATTCTTGTGATAAACTGCCTTGTGCTTTAACTCTAATTAAAAGGATAGAACAGACACAGAAGGAGCAAATTAACTTAATTATTAAGTAGAAAGAAAATTGAAGAAGAGGGAAAAGACAGAAAAGGGAAATTATACACGGGACCCTCACTCCTATGGGATTCAACAGTTGTCAAGCACTTTAATGTGTGAAGGTTACGATTCATCTAAGGATATAAAGCCATGAGAGTCCTTGAAAATTCTTATACATTACAAGCTGTCGGGGCTTAACAAATCCTTCCAATAGCGGCGCGATGTGTTCCACAATTTCTAATCCCGCTAGGAATATATCGCACATGTAAATCAGCTATCTGTTGTTTTTACATATGCGAATAAAAGAGCTTATAAAAAAATATTTTAGAATTGTGATCCATACTTTATTTCATGTACAGAGCTTCTTTACAATGATTCACTTTTCTGTAATCGCTAGGGATTACCAGTTTCGCTGAGAGTCAAATATGAATTCAGATGTCACTGTTTATATCCCCAAATATAAAATTGTTACCCCCAAATCCTTTCTATTGTTTCCAACATAGAACATTCAACGAGTATAATGACATAATTCATCTGAACGCGTCATTAGCAAAGTAGGATTGGTCTTTCCGCTTTATATTATTTACTTTGTGTAAAACAGCTCCTTCGTGCTTTCGTCTTCTCCATCTTGTCAATAGAGAAGTAAGCCTTCATTATCGAGGGGTTTCAGTGTTTGTATTATATTTCGTTACAGCCTTCTATGGACCCACACATGAAAAATGTTTTGTAAGGGCGAGACTTATCACCTCCAAAATGCAATGTCCGGTTTACACAGCAAGAGACTGTACAGTGCTAACACATTGTAGGAAGGTACGTTATACAGTATGCCAAGAAGGAACAAACAGTCTTCTGTTTAAGTTTATAAGTATTGGTTCTACTCCATAAAAATTCATAATACTTTGATGTAGATGTGTGAACTGCAGTATGCTGTATGAAGGAGCAATATACGATTAATATTTGTGCGTGCTTTTCATGGCAAATTGCCTTACACTTCACACTCGAAACGTCATTGGCTAACACGCGGGAATGGAAAGGAATATGGGAGAAAACAAAGAAAATCAATGGAACTAAATTGATGTAACAAAGATTGAGGCTTCACGCTGAAACTTCAGTGGGTGTTACGCTAATTATATTATAGCGAAACGTTATTGAAAGTTGCAAAACCTATTATGGGATATATACTTAAAGTCATGTTCGCGCTGATCCTTGTACGGTGAGTTGTTTACGATAAATTCGATGAAATTAGATTTGAATTTCATGTAAAATTCATAATATAGTAGACTGATACGAATAAAAGTCAAATATCTTTAGTTGTAGACTTTTAATATAAAAATAATTGAAATTCCTTGATTAATTACTGAGATGGAAAACGTTGGTAACAAGAGTGACACTTTCCCCAGTATGGGTACCTTTTATGCACTTGGTTCTGAGGAAGCATTCCTCATTAACATTGCTCAAGGGACTGTGACAGGTAATAAAGTTGGTATCAAGCAGCGAGATATATTGAAACAGGTCATCATTCTTATAGAAACCATAAAACGGCTACTGCTGCCGAACTATCCCGCGAGAATTATATGATGCCGGTAAATAATTCTGTAGTTATATGGGAATACCGAGTTACTGATAGTGCAATTAACCACTACACAGAAGCTGCAGGCCTTTATAATCTAAACATCCCACAAGTGTAACCCTACACCAATAACGCAGCGGGAAGAATAAGAAAAAGCAGGGGCCGGTAACGCAGATGTAAACCAGCTCAGTAGACCCCAAACCTGGCATAATTACATCAACGTAGGGCAAGCAAAGCCATGAGAATGAATCGGGTACGGCAGCACAAGTTTTGTTATGATATTATAGGCCATATACACTGATAGACTCTTACTGACTTTTCGGAGGAACCTGCTACCTCCACATTAAGAATTTCCTAATGTAATCTGGCATATGGCTCGAGTAATTCGCCTGTAATGAAGTTAGCTACCTTGTCTACAGTGTATAAGAATAATATGGCACCATAGTTGTTGAAGCAGAAATGATTTTATTTTTATAGGTGGATACTTACGGGGTCATGGAGTGTAGCAGATGGGAGTAAGTTGAAGGGCGAGCGTCTGGCACCCTAAAACGGGACTATTTGTTTAAGGAAGTAAACCCTGACAGGAAGTTGTTGGTTGTCCCCTCACAAGTTCGTGGGCTAGACTTTATGCTGATATTCTCATTCTGTCGAGAATCTAAACAAGATATTCTCTTGGAAGCGGATAGAGCCCAAAGTGGGATGTAGGGCCATTAGTAGTAGTAGCAGCAGCAGCAGCAGTAGTAATATTAGTATATACTTACGGGCCAAAACCTTTTGTCTCCGCGTCTGTGGTCTAAATACGTAAATATCTGGACGCACAAAATTATAATTTTACCTGTGGTTTTGTATGGGTGTGAAACTTTGTCTCTGGCATTAAAGGAGGAACATAGACTAAGAATATTTGAGAAGAGCCTACTGAAGGTAATATTTAGACCAAAAAGGGATGAAGTGACAGGAGGTGGAATAAAATGGTATAATGAAGAGCTTCGTAACTTGTACTTGTCGCTAAGTATAATTAGAATGTTGGAGTGAAAAAGGATGAGATGGACCGAGTATATAACACTCACGGGGAAAAGAGGAATCCATATAGGATTTTGGTTGAAACACCAGAAGGAAAGAGAACACTAGGATGAACTAGACGTAGGTGGGTGGATAACGCTAAAATTGATATTAGCGAGATAGAATGGGATTGTATGGACTGGACTGATTTGGCTCAGGATAGGGACCAGTTGAGGGCTCATGTGAACTTGATAATGAACCTTCGGGTTCCAAAAACCATTAGGACATTTAAGTGTGGTTGAGTGACTGGAGGTTTCACAAGGAGGACTCAGTTTCATTTAGTTATGTACTTACGTGAACAGCGCGGCTGCAGGAAACCAGACGGACAAGAGCACACCCCGGGACGTGTACACAGACCGCCATTCAAACACGGCGGTTCGCACACCGCTGTCGGGAGGAATAAAAATTACAACAACAAAAAATAATCTATGGGTTACATATTCTACACATTACAAAATTATAGTTATGATGTATTTAACACACAATTGTACGTATATAGGACCTGAGTTTCCCACAGCGGTGGTTATGAACAGTTCTGTCTTCTGGAATACAACGTCGTGTAGTCCTTTCAAAGTCAACCGAAGTTTCGAAGGAAAATGTCGCTTTTATTTTCACGTTGGTTTCTTCGTTTGCTTATTCTTCAACCCTGAAGATGGAGGCGACATGTCCCTCTGAAACGTCGGTTGACTTCCAGAGGACTACGCGTCGTTATTTCCGAGAAGACAAAACTCCACGCAACAGCAGAGATGGAACGCTTACTCACTGCTTGCTACATCAAGCTGCCCTTTAAACACCGAGCAGGCTTGTGTAGTGGCAACACTGTGCGCGTATGGTAATTGCTCGAATAGCGACAAGGTTAATTTATACCTTAAATGAGAATTTTCATGGTTTTGATCAGGCTGCAAATGAAATGCCGCACTACACGCTCCATCCAAACCTCTTCCTACCCACTTTTCATGACAAATTCCCCATTTTAATCTCCGCTTTGTAAAGTAAGTTTATTTAATTTTAACGGCGTTGTTAAAAAGTAAAATTGTGTCTGTACTTAAGTAGTTAAGCATTGTGCCATGAAGACATATGGAGGAGTGGAAATATACCTCCAATATTCTTGCTCTCGGCACTAGATGGAGGTGAGTGGTCAGTTCCACGCCTTTGCCGCTTCAACCCCGGGGGAAAGAGCCCCCCGGTAACCTATTTGAGAGCAGACTGGGTGGACCTTAAATTTGGCCTGGGCTCTGCTGAGAATAGAAAAATCTTGCTCTCCCGGGAATAGAACCCGGGCCTTCCAGTCCGTATTCCGTTACTACAACGATTTGAGCTATTCCGAATCCAGGGGGATCGTTAAACAACTGAAAATCTATACTGCGTTAGCGTGCAGGACTGCATTACCAATTTTATAGCTCATTTCTGATACAGGAATTGATTTATGCGCTGAACGAGGAAAAGAACAGAACAGAAGAAGAATTAAGGTTTGTACTTATCCTCCTTAGTACCTACTTACTCACTTCACTCCAGTCTGAAATTTGACAACAATTACGTATATTTTCAGTGCCCCGAATATGACTTTTCCCTTTTATTTCATCTTCCTTGCATCTTCGCATTTTCTCCATCAAAAAATTGAAAATTTACACATTTCTCTCAAAGTAAGACAGGCGTACAGAATAACTGGTGGAATGGTCTTTTATATAATATTTTCTTTTACAATACTTAGAAAGTAAACGAGATTATAAATAGAATATAAACGTTTCTGACCGTAGTGTATGACACTGGCAATTGTCGGGTTTCTGGACTTTGCTCATCATCCGGTAATCTGAAACACCAGAGAACCAAAATTTTCGGAAAATGGTCTGTTTCCGTTCTTAGGCTAGGGAGGAGACACCTCCTCTGTTGGGTTCGTAAGAAAGGGCTAACCTCAGTTATTGAACACTCTATGTCAGTATAGGTTAAGACATTCTCTGAGTGCTGCTTTTCAGGGCACTCACGATGGTCATGTTCATCGCCACATCACAGACAGCGAGGAGGCTGCCTGCAGTGTACCCACATGTGGCTCAAACGCTGACAGTGCTACCACTGTGTAAGTCCATTTGGGATCTATAAGTTTCGGCCTTTACAGCTATGTTACAGGGTATTGTCAATTTGAAGATTTATGGATCTTTTTGATTCCTTACCAGAGTAACTAAGAAGAGCGGGAGGGAAGGGGTGTGACCCCTCCTTCTGGAGTGGTACGTTTGGCAGTCACCTGCTTTACTTCAATGATGACGTAGTTACTCTCTTGGAGGGCCACAGTGATATCCTCTGCCGAAATATTCCCAGGCAAATATCTGATAACAGCTTAAGCCGGGTTATTTGTCTCTGTGTAAAATGTAAAGAAGTGAAGATTTTTCTCAGTTAGGAATTTTTGCATGGCGTTGTAGCCATCATGCTTGTAGTTGTTACCCGCGTTACGGTTGTAGTGTTTTAGAAGAACTCCTCTCTCACGACTCTTTTTATTTCTCTCTGGAAACTAAGTAAGTTGCATCTGATGTTAATATGATGGAAGATAGCCTACACTTTTGTTCCAAGTTTTTCATTGGAATTTCCTTCACAAATCGTCTCTGCATTTTCCACATATAAATCACTGAGTAGCACAAAGAAGTTATTCGTTGCCACCGGCCGTAGGTTTCCGTACGTTGAAGGTGGCTTCTTCTGTTTCTTGGTGCAGCACTCATCCTCAGATTTTCTGTCTCCCCTTCTGCGTTGTGCTCATTTTTCTACTATTTTCAAAATATTTTCCTGTCCTGATTCCATGATGCTCGAATGAGGATTGCCCTTCACTTCCTTGTATATTGCTGCATACATGTAAAGTAAGCCGGTAAATAAAGTCTGCCTATCTAGAGGGTGCGTCTGTCTTCCATAACTCTGTCCACTAGTTGTTTCCACTTCTCGTCAATTCCATTCACTTTGGACGAATTTTAAACAAGCTGCCCTATTTGTACTATAGAAGCTCGTAGTAGATCCATTTCCTTTTTCCGATCCGCTATTAAATTTTCACATCCCTCATCGACTGAGGCGAGCACGGCCCGCCAGCGTGTCTCACATTGCGTTAGTGTAGCGAGAGCCATCTCCCTCAAACAGAACTTGTTTTAGGCTCTCACATACTTGATGCCTTCTGTGCGCCATCTGTATTTCGGTGTGGCGCTGCTAACGATTCACACTAACTAAACTGCTATAAAACTGCTTCTTATTGGCTAATCTACACACTCGCTACTCACGACTGACCATTGCTGTTGGTTCTAGTTGCATATCTAGCTGCTCCACTGACTCCACTCTTCCTCAGTAGCTCCTAATTCACTATCGTAGTCGGTACAACAATTGGGTGTGGGCTGCACGACCGAAAGGACGGAGTCCAGGTAAGGCCAACAATTTTCTCTTCTCCAAGTCGTCCACCCCAGCTCTGGGGTCTGTCCAACCTCCTATTCAATGGGTACTGAGTTCTCTTTTCTCGTGGGTAAAGCGGCCAAGGCGTGAAGCTGGCAACTCACTACCATCTAATACCGCGATCAAAAAGCGTGGATATATACATTAACTACCCTATACGCCTTCATGGTTAGGCAAGAAACAACTTCATCTCGCCTATGCTAGTATAATCACACCTATACATCCTATATCCTTCCAGAATTGCTTCTAGTGATGGACGGGCTGCCGGGCTAAGTGTGTGGAGGGATTAGGTATTCTAACCACCCAGATACAGAACTTTGTTTTTCCGTCCCAAGATCGGATACATTTTGGACAGAGTAGTACATCACGCGAGACCAAGCAGTAGTTATACTGACATAGGTTGTCCAGAGGTTGAGGTCAGCTCTCTCTAAGGGATTCAAGAGACGAACTGTCTCTTATTCCTCACCTTGGGATGAAAGCAGATCCGGTTTCAGAAATTTTGTGTTCTCTAGTGGTTTAGATTACCGGGCGATGGGAAAGGTCCAAAAACTGATTAATTCCGAGGTTACAGATATTTTGCATTAAACAACAACAGGCACAGCTTCTGTTTGACTTCCACTTAAGTTAATCTAGAACCTCTCTTGATATTCACTTCTGTTAGTATTTATACTTTTTGTCTTTATGTTGGCAACTTTTCAAAGTGAGTGGTTCAGAATTTGAAGAAATCTCATGCCACTTGTGGTTACAGCAACAGTAATATATCGAGCTCGAACTTCTCAAAAGAATGCCATGTAGCAAGTATTGCATTGAGCAACCGGCAGAACAGCTCCTCGCTTCTCTTACTCTACGCTTTTCATGAATAGATCAATAGTTCGTCCATTAGCTAATTACACGCTAAATGGTTTTCCTTACGCAGCTGACGGTTATTTACAAATTCAACGTAGTCTCATGTTACGGAAAAAAATGGACTATCGTCTTGTTATGTCCTATTTCAAATTGCTTCAATCATTCAGTTTCAAATACTATAATTCTAATTTCTTTTCAGTTTCTTGGGCTGGGATGAGGCTGAGTCCAATTGCTACGTCTGCCAGTAAAGGGCCTATTGTGCCAGCTCCGGATAATAAATGATGGTGAATGTGGTGAAGTCGGTGGAATGAGAATTGGCAGGAGAAACCGAAGTACTCGGAGAAAATCTGCCTCATACCACTTTGTCCACCACAGATCCCACATCACCTGATCTGTGCTCGAAACCTGGCCGTCATGATGGGAAGCCGGCGACCAACCGCCTGAGCTTTGGCACGCCCTATTATAAATCTGAAGTCTACATTATTAATATCGTCTCACCTAGGTCTAAACTAAGTGATCTGTTCTCGAAAATATTTCCAGTCAAAATTAAGTTGGTATATTTTATACTCTCAAGTTGCGTGCTATATATCATACCCATCTCACCCTGTTAAACATCTCTACACTTGGAATAATAAGTGAAGAATACAAATTATGAAACTATTCAGAATATTTTATATTCCTTTCCTTGTTTTTTGTTCCTTACGTGCAAATTATCTGAACAGTCTGATCATTACTTTCTTGAATTTTTGTGTTCCCCTAAGCATCGTATCAAATGATCTTTCCGTGATGACCTGGTAACGAGATACCTTGTACAGATGGGAGTCTAGGCTGTGCATTCGATCCCCAGCCAGAGGACCAGCTATCGTCAATAAAATGGAAGCACTTAAGGGAAATGTGCAAAGTACAGGCCAGTCGCAAAATTTCTGCCCTAAACTCACGTGGTTACCATGGGAACTTAATTGGAGAGGGATTTATTGATTTGTAAGAGAAAATAGTGCGCTTAAATCTTTCACAGAGGAACATTTCAGCTATTAGGAGGCGTTGAGTTTTTAATTAAAATTCTTTGTACAAAAATTAATATTGAATAATTTATTTAAGTAAATACTATTAACAGAGACCCCCTC